ACTCTTAAAAGCTGAACACAATTTACAAACGGTAGTATTCTATAATAAATTCAAACTTCCGAACATAATTCAAAAGAGCGGAACATAATGCGATCAAACTTTTGAACATAATTCATCAGTGTGGCCGAATAAAATACGAAACACCATAACATAATTTGCATTCTAATTTTGACCCTAATAACGCTTCATATTTGCCATCCTCATGACATGACAGCATTATCAACAAAAATGTCATTGTCAAGTGGGATTAAGTAATTAAATGAATGTAATATATAATTTACAAAATCAATATACATATGAAGGGTTTTTTTTTGAAAGGATTCTTCAAAAGGTACTCAGTTTACTGTTATCACATTTGCCATTGAACAGATTGAACTACATTCTGTAGGTCTACAACAAAAGATCCTTGGTTGGATTTTATGGCAATGGTTTCCCTGCTGACCTAAAATTGCACTTTGAAAATCTGATATACACTGGGATCTGCAAGACTAACTTGCAAGCCATAGACTGACCTAATTTAAAATTTACTCAAGGTGATGGGTGGGGTAGAGGGCAACGGACAGGTGGAGTAAATTACACAAAATTAGAGTCACAGCCAGAGACATGAAAAATGAAGAAGCCACTCCACTTTCTGTGAAGTGACTTCAGATAATTTAATCACAAACAGCTGAATATTAGCACACATGTTAAGGTGAATTCACCAACCTTCTTCTGAGCCATACTCCTCAAGCACCTCAGAAAGTGCATTTCTAATATCCACAATGCCTTGAGCAGGAACAGCAATATTAGTGCGACCTCCACGGCCGTATGTCCCAGTTTGATTGATCTGTCAAAGCAGAGTTGTGTTAGAATGTTTCAAGGCTTTCCATGAATGATTGTCATACAATATGTCAATAGACTTTGTCTACAGGTTAGCACTATTACACACTTGCTTCAACTCAAGAGCAGAAGGCTGTCAAAATTGTGAATGTTCTCATGCAAGTATGTGTGACTGTTGAAATCTGATTTTGTAGTTCTTATTTGCATGTTACCCATAGTCAGCTTAACAACTGTAATTCAAGCTTCGGAATTCTTGAATGAAGGGCTTGTTTTATGCGTGAAACTCTTCTCTGCAGGCTTTTTGCCAGGATTTGAAAAGTGGGCGTCCAAAATGCAAAATAGGGCCTGCTCCAATGAACAATTTATAAGGCAACATATGAAAAATAAAACAATTTTCTTTAAAAAGTGGCCATCCACAGGACTCCTGGATGCCCATCAACATATGCCTGATTTTTATCTGGAATTTCCTATTTAGGAGGGCATTTTTAAAAAGCTACAGTACTAGAAGCCAGCCTCTTATTTGCCAGGTATACTGCTTTTATCAATTTGGGAATCAAAATAACCATTCTTCAGGAAAAGTACTGAAGACACTAACACAAACCTTGAGGAACTTTCCTCTGTTATTTTCTTTGAGGTCAAGATAATACATCCTGTTGTTTGGACCTCTGATGCTCTCGCTACAAAATAAAAAAAGAGACAGAGAGCTACATTCAATCACAAGCAGCTGAGAAACAGCTGAATATTAGTGCACGGTTCTCTCAGACTGACCAGTAAGAGCCGGCACTGAGCATTCAGAACCTCCCAAACCAGAGAACCCTGATTGTACTGTTAACTGTATAAATTATTTCATGGGTTCTAAAAGGTATGTTACACAATGAGGAAGACCATGTCGATGTAAAGTGCATATTATGTAGTACTGTTAATTCACCCATGCTACAGACTAAGACATAAAATCAAGCAGGGACATCTGTCACAATGAACGATTGCTACTATACATGTCCTTTGTACACATGGACACGTGCATGTATGTAGGTTTTTTGTGAAAGTATCCACTGATTGATTTCCAACTAGGAACTGCACTGGTGGAGCACCCCAGAATAACAGCGTATACTGACAGTAAATGATGTAACTTGTCATTTTACCTCATCAAATTGCCAGATTCCTCTGATTCTTCATCACGTTTCGGTGCTAGAAACAAAAAGTTTACGAGGTAAGATGAGTCTTTTTAGCTGAAGGTTCTTCGAGCACCATGGCAAACTAACACCAAGCCTAGGGCTCCTCCCCAATAATTGTGGATGCACCTATGCTATTGTTGCCAGCTGCACCACTATTATAATGATGTAAGGAAGGTCAGCAACTGATTGATAAGAGTATGCAATTGTGTCATTGTTAAAAGAAATCTTATTTGAGAAAGGAGTTTACACGAGGTTCTTTTGAGTGTGCAAGAACTGCAAGCAATCATGAATTAAAATAAGAGTGTAAATCATGACACAAATTATGAAACAGTGACATGTATGTACATGTAACTGAGATGTACATGTACTATCAAGATAGCTTTTACCTTGGGCAAGGAAATTTGCAAAGGCTGTTAGCTTGGTGCAGAAATCCCGAGCCACGCCCATGGTAAATATTACCTTGCTTTTTCCAGAACGGTTAACAGAAACCTGCAAGATATTAAGTTAATCACATTTTTATACTTCTAACAACATTGCAATGTACCTAGCCCAGAAATTATACTGTCTAATTACTTATTCTTTTATACATGTGCCAACTGTTTCACAGGAAAAAAATAAGAAAAAACTAAACAGAACAGAACAAAAAACAAAAACTAACTAAAGGGAAATTTAAACCTTCTGCAGATTCATTTTTGAATGTTTTGAGCACTAGGGCAAACATTAAGCACTAAAAATATAAAGCTAAATGTAACCAGATTTTTTCAATGGTTTTGTAATTCCTACAGTGCACCCGTCAAACCAAGAAGAGGATTGTAACTCTCACAAATGACTGGAAGTTTGTGTTATACCATTGATTACTTGAGCATCAACTTATATAATAAACACATGTAGCAGGTAGTGTCAATCCATCAATGTGCAAGTGCTGGCAATCATTACTAGAAACCTAAGTCCATTTCTTTCATCTAGGCTGTTGGTACTACATACAATGGGAAATAATGAATAATCAAATCCTTTCCAGCTGCAAAAAGAGACTTGTCGCAAGGGTCATCATACATAGTCACAAATTAAACCTTGGCTGAGTGCGATTTGTTAAATAATAACACGTGATTTGTCCTATATTTAGGGATTTTGGATGTGTGACAACCTGTTAAGGGTTGATTCCAAAATATCCATACCCTACCATACTAGATAACAGCCAAAACTTGTAGACATTCAAACAGCTCTACTCTACTTTCAAGTCCTCCTAATACCACAGCCCTTCAAAACAAATAAAACTAATAATAAGGTGGAT